ATATATATATATATATATATACATATATATATATATATATTATATATATATATATATATATATATATATATATATATATACAGTGGACCCCCGCATAACGATTACCTCCGAATGCGACCAATTATGTAAGTGTATTTATGTAAGTGCGTTTGTACGTGTATGTTTCGGGGTCTGAAATGGACTAATCTACTTCACAATATTTCTTATGGAACAAATTCGGTCAGTACTGGCACCTGAACATACTTCTGGAGTGAAAAAATATCGTTAACCGGGGGTCCACTGTATATATATGTATAATGTATATGTATATATATATATATATAATATATATATATATATATATATATATATATATATATATATATATATATATATATATATATATTATATATATATATATAACATTTTTTTTTTTTCAACAAGTCGGCCGTCTCCCACCGAGGCAGGGTGACCCAAAAAAGAAAGAAAATCCCAAAAAAAGAAAATACTTTCATCATCATCACACTTTCACCACACTCGCAATTATCACTGTTTTTGCAGAGGTGCTCAGAATACAACAGTCTAGAAGCATACACATATAAAGATACACAACATATCCTCCAAACTGCCAATATCCCAAACCCCTCCTTTAAAGTGCAGGCATTGTATCTTCCCATTTCCAGGACTCAAGTCCGACTATATGAAAATAACCGGTTTCCCTGAATCCCTTCACTAAATATTACCCTGCTCACACTCCAACAGATCGTCAGATCCCAAGTACCATTCGTCTCCATTCACTCTATCTAACACGCTCACGCACGCTTGCTGGAAGTCGAAGCCCCTTACTCACAAAACCTCCTTTACCCCCTCTCTCCAACCCTTTCGAGGACGACCCCTACCCCGCCTTCCTTCCCCTATAGATTTATATGCTTTCCATGTCATTCTACTTGTTCCATTCTCTCTAAATGACCAAACCACCTCAACAACCCTCTTCTGCCCTCTGACTAATACTTTTATTAACTCCACACCTTCTCCTAATTTCCACACTCCGAATTTTCTGCATAATATTTACACCACACACATTGCCCTTTAAACAGGACATCTCCACTGCCTCCAACCGTCTCCTCGCTGCTGCATTTACCACCCAAGCTTCACACCCATATAAGAGTGTTGGTACTACTATACTTTCATACATTCCCTTCTTTGCCTCCATAGATAACGTTTTTTGACTCCACATATACCTCAACGCACCACTCACCTTTTTTCCCTCATGAATTCTATGATTAACCTCATCCTTCATAAATCCATCCGCCAACACGTCAACTCCGAAGTATCTGAAAACATTCACTTCTTCCATACTCCTCCTCCCCAATTTGATATCCAATTTTTCTTTATCTAAATCATTTGACACCCTCATCACCTTACTCTTTTCTATGTTCACTTTCAACTTTCTACCTTTACACACATTCCCAAACTCATCCACTAACCTTTGCAATTTTTCTTTAGAATCTCCCATAAGCACAGTATCATCAGCAAAAAGTAACTGTGTCAATTCCATTTTGAATTTGATTCCCCATAATTTAATCCCACCCCTCTCCCAAACACCCTAGCATTTACTTCCTTTACAACCCCATCTATAAATATATTAAACAACCATGGTGACATTACACATCCCTGTCTAAGACCTACTTTTACCGGGAAGTAGTCTCCCTCTCTTCTACACACCCTAACCTGAGCCTCACTATCCTCATAAAAACTCTTTACAGCATTTAATAACTTACCACCTATTCCATATACTTGCAACATCTGCCACATTGCTCCTCTATCCACTCTATCATATGCCTTTTCTAAATCCATAAATGCAATAAAAACTTCCCTATCTTTATCTAAATACTGTTCACATATATGCTTCAATGTAAACACCTGATCTACACATTCCCTACCCACTATAAAACCTCCTTGCTCATCCGCAATCCTACATTCTGTCTTACCTCTAATTCTTTCAATTATAACCCTACCGTACACTTTTCCTGGTATACTCAGTAAGCTTATTCCTCTATAATTTTTACAGTCTCTTTTGTCCCCTTTCCCTTTATATAAAGGGACTATACATGCTCTCTGCCAATCCCTAGGTACCTTCCCCTCTTTCATACATTTATTAAACAAAAGTACCAAACCACTCCAACACTATATCCCCCCTGCTTTTAACATTCTGTCATGATCCCCTCAGTTCCAGCTGCTTTACCCCCCTTTTATTTTACGTAATGCCTCACGTACCTCCCCCACACTTACATTCTGCTCTTCTTCACTCCTAAAAGATGGTATACCTCCCTGACCAGTGCATGAAATTACTGCCTCTGTTTCTTCCTTAACATTTAAAAGTTCCTCAAAATATTCTCGCCATCTACCAAATACCTCCCTCTCCCCATCTACTAACTCCCCTACTCTGTTTTTAACTGACAAATCCATATTTTTCCCTAGGCTTTCTTAACTTGTTTAACTCACTCCAAAATTTTTTCTTATTTTCATTAAAATTTCTTGACAGTGCCTCTCCCATCTATCATCTACTCTCCTTTTGCACTCTCTCACCACTCTCTTTACCTTTCTTTTACTCTCCATATACTCTGCTCTTCTTATAACACTTCTGCTTTGTAAAAACCTCTCATAAGCTACCTTTTTCTCTTTTATCACACCCTTTACTTCATCATTCCACCAATCACTCCTCTTTCCTCCTGCCCCCCCCCTCCTATAACCACAAACTTCTGTCCCACATTCTAATACTGCATTTTTAAAACTATTCCAACCCTCTTCAACCCCCCCACTACTCATCTTTGCACTAGCCCACCTTTCTGCCAATAGTCGCTTATATCTCACCCGAACTTCCTCCTCCCTTAGTTTATACACTTTCACCTCCCTCTTACTTGTTGTTGCCACCTTCCTCTTTTCCCATCTACCTCTTACTCTAACTGTAGCTACAACTAAATAATGATCCGATATATCAGTTGCCCCTCTATTAACTGTAGCTACAACTAAATAATGATCCGATATATCAGTTGCCCCTCTATAAACATGTACATCCTGGAGCCTACCCATCAACCTTTTATCCACCAATACATAATCTAATAAACTACTTTCATTACGTGCTACATCATACCTTGTATATTTATCCTCTTTTTCATAAAATATGTATTACTTATTACCAAATTTCTTTCTACACATGCTCAATTAAAGGCTCCCCATTTACATTTACCCCTGGCACCCCAAATTTTCCTACTACTCTTCCATAACGAATTTTACCCACTTAGCATTGAAATGCCCAACCACCATTACTCTCACACTTGATTCAAAACCTCCCCAACCTCGCATTCACACTCACTTTCCCCAAATCTCTCTCTCCTCCTCTACACTTCTCTCTACTCCAGGTGCATAACATGGCTTAATTATAACCCCACTTTTACACATCCAATCTTTATTTTACTCCCACATATCCTTGGAATTTTAATACATTTATATCCCCTCTTTTCCTGCCATAGCATATGCCTCAACATTATTGCTACTCCTTCTTTAGCTCTAACACTAATTTTAAACCCCTGACCTAACCCCATTTATTCCTCCCACTGAAACTCATCAACACTCCCACCCCTTCAGCTTGTTTCAGCCTTAAAGCCAGGACATCCATTCTTCTTCTCATATCATAACTTCCACAATCAACTCTTTCTATCATCTGCACAACATCCACGCACATTCAGACTTCCCATTTTACAATTTTTTCTTCTTATTCTTTTAGTTAATCTTTACAGGAAAATTGTTACTAGCCCATTGTTCCCCGGCATATTAGTTGTCCTTTTACAACATGCATGGCTTACGGAGAAAGATTCTTAATACCACTTGCCCCCATGTGAGAATATATAGATATATATAAATAATATATATATATATATGATATATATATATATAAAGATAATATAATATATATATATATATATATGATAAACATGAAATATATATAATAAATAAAATACATATATATATATATAATATACATATAAAAATATATAATATCAATTAATATATATAATATACATATAAATAGATAATTATAATATACATATATATATATATAATAAACATATATATATATAACAAATATACATATTATATATAATAAAATACATAAATATATATATAATATATATATAATATAAATATAATATATATATATATATAATATATATATATATATAATATAAATATATATATAATATGCAAATAAGATCACAGAAAACCAGGTGATTTCAGAATATGCAAAACAATACCACTATCTGAAAAGAATAAGAGAAATTCCAATCGCTTTCGTGAGTAGTTCACGAAAGCGCTGGAATTTCTCTATTCTTTCAGAGTGGTTGTTTTGCATATATAGAACACACACACACACACACAACACACGACAGAGTGGTTCCTCGTTTTTCGTAATTAATCTTCCTGAGGCCGTTACTAGTAAAAAGAAATTTACGATTTTGCGAATCAATTTTCCCCATAAGAAATAATGTAAAGTACAATTAATCCGTTCCTGACACCCAGAAGTAGTAAAACCAAAAAAAATATACATGACATATACATTAAGAACATAAAACACAAACAAGGAATGATGAATGAAACATTAAGCAGCATAACACTTACCTTTATTGGAGATTCTTCTTAGTGTATGGAGACTGAGAGTAGAGATTGGATTGTTTTATAGTTTGGAAGGGGAATCCTCTTCCAGCAACACCTCAGTTACCAATTGCGTTTCTCTGGGGTCTAGCCTTGACTTTCTCTGTTTCTAATGCCACAAGACCACCTTGAGAATCACTGGAGTCCCTGTCTCGCAAAATAACTGTGGAGAGAGCTCTGTTTCTGGCGTCTCTTTAAACACTTCGCCTAAAATGGCCCAAGCTTTGACACTGTACATGTTTGCAATATGGCTTGCAATCAACCCTTGTTATGGTGATGTTTTTCTTCCATAAAGCTTTCCATCTTACCCACATATAAAACTCCTTTATTTCTGAAGAAGGGCCACCTCTTCCATCCTCTTCCTCCTCTGTAGCAAGATTCCTGAGCTGCGAAGTTGTTGCTCTTTCCTGCTGAATTTCTTGCATCTCCTCATTGGTGAGCTCTTCATTGTGGGACTTTTCCACCAATTTCTTCCACATCCACCAAACCACAGTCCAACCCTCATGGAACTCCCCAGTGCCACATTGATTTTTACAACAGACATAGGCTCCATCAGGGTCCAGCCCAAACCCTTCAAAATCCCTCTTGTCGACACAATCAGGCCACAATTTTCTCCAGGCAGAGTCAAAGTCCTGGTAGTCACTCCCTCCCAAAGCCATACCTATAAGGTTATGCAATAGGATGATGCTGAAGTGTTCTCTCCAAAATTCCCATAGGGTCAAGAGAGGTGTCTGAGTCACAGTCAAGCACCTGTGAAACATTTCTTTTGTGTAGATTTTTTAAAGTTTGCAATGACCTGGGTGCGTCCATGGGCTGGAGTAGAGGAAGGTATTCGGGGGCAAGAACTTTACTGTGTGAACCCAAACTCCTCGAAAATTAGTCAGTCCACGTTTGGAGTGATGAGCAGTGCATTTTCCATTACTAAGCAGGCATTTCAGAACCAATTTCATTTTCCAGGAGATACTCCATCACACTAGGGCCAAACACTCACATTGAACCACACAAAACGAAAATTTCCCCTCGTGAACCCATGCCTTACTATTAGATATCATCAAAACACACACAATTTACTCTTCATACATTGTTATTGCCTGAACAACGTCGTGATTTTTCAGAATGTACACTATTAATGGCTTCACTTTGAAACCCCAATTATCATTAGCACAGAACCTTCGCGTCAGCCTGTCCTTTCATAGGCTTGTGTCCTGGCATCGCCTTTTCCTCTTGTGCAATGAAGTTCCTCTTTGGGCATTTTCTTCCAAAAGAGGCCTTTTTCATCACAATTGAACACTTATTCAGGTTTCATGTCCTTCAGCCTCTATTTAACTGGAAATTCATTGCACATATTTTACAGTAGCCTGCCTTGTGGTCGAACTGGCGCCTCACCATGCCATACCACACTGGTATGCAGTACGGTATCTTAAAACTCTCAAACGCTCATCCTTTGCTGCCTCAAATTCACACACATCACCACTATTTGCAGCAATTTCTTTACCAAATCTTCATGCAACGCCTAGCCATTTCACAAATAATCGAAGTCAAAAGATTATCTGCCTGCAATTAAAAATGGGTTTTCTCATTTATCCACACCAATAATAACTTCTCAACCTCTTCGAGTACTGGTTATCTCATTTTGTCCAGCATAGTTTTACCCGTTTGCCAACACAGCATCCTTGATTTACTTTTTCTTGGGCCAATAATGGAACATAATTTTGTTATGGTTTTTTACATCCTTGCCAGATCGGTCCTCACTTGTAACGCACTTTAATATTGTTCAATGTTGGGTTTCTTAAAAATTCAATCGAATTACTCACCTTCTTATAACACAGGCTTTGGCGACTAGGACTTTCTTTGAGCCATGTTATCTTATTTAGACTTGCAAGCCTAAAATCGAATGGAATATTATGAAATATTTCGCTTGATCACGTGAGGGGGACCTTTTCGCTCACACAGTAAAACATGCCACACTGGCTGCCTCCACGGCTCATGCCGTGGGTAACGCGTCCGTACGAATTACACTCGCGATTCAACATAATTAAAAGCTAGACCATGATTATACCGAATAACCCTATGAATGGCGAATATTGATTGCGTGACCTACGAAAAGCAGGGACCTACTGTAATAAATAAACACAAACGTGTATATATATATATATATATAAATGTATGAACTGTATTTTACATCCGTAAACGGTCCCAAGCAGAATCTACGTTCACATGTGAAGTGCAACAAAAGTAATCTGACGTTATTTTTTACATATATTTTCAAATATAACAAAAAAAAAAATTTAGATACAAAGTTTTTTTTTACACATTTTCAAATGTAAAAAACAAAAATGAAGATCTACTTTTTTTACGATACTTTCAAAAGTGAAAAAACTTATATATACGTTTGGAACCGTAGTACTAGTTACCAAGTCGGCCGTCTCTCCCACTTGAGGCAGGGTGACCCAAAAAGAAAGAAACTCCTCCCCTCCCAAAAATACTTTCATCATCATTCAACACTTCACCACACTCACACATAACAACCGTTTTTGTTTGCAGAGGTGCCTCAGAATACAACATTTTTAGAAGTACATTTATATAAAAAGATACACAACAAAACCCTCCAACTGCCAAAAACCCAAACCCCTTCATTAAACGCAGGCATTGTACTTCCCATTTCCAGGACTCATCTGGCTATAACAAAATAACGCACTCTCAAAATATGACCAAAACTTTCTATTCGCAATTTGTCATTCAAATACGGCGCAAAGTACCACCTGGTTTTGTTTTACAATGTCCATGATGCACATCTCTCTATTATGTAATAAAAATCACTCTTGGGCCAATATAATGTCTAATTTAACGTTCAATAAGACATTTTCCATAATCCATCTATGATATTTTCTCAAATTATATAAAAAACCGCATTACATAGCGATATAAGCATGCGTGGTATATATTCTATGAGAGGTGGTCGTTGACAGGTGGATGGAAAACTTACTTAAATACTAATGTATAATCACTCTTGGGCACATTAAATGTCTTATTTTACGTTAATATAGACATTTTCATTAATCCATCTATTATATTTTCTTCAAATATATAATAAACACATACATAACATATAAACATTCTGTTTATATCTATGAGGTGTGGTAGCTGGGCAGAAGGGAAAACACTAAACGTCACCATGCCCCTAATAATGATTTTGTTTACAATTCTCGGGGCATGAATTATTCATTACTTCCCCTATGTTTTATGATGACATCTAAAAGGTATTTGTTAAAACAATTAAACTCATTGAACATGATATGTCGATGGTAATAATGTTGCTCTGGCCACGTTAAATATCGTTTAAAGCTATATAAGCCCATGCTGACTACATACCTACAGTACTGTATTATTATAAAACTGATAATTATACGTATGTGTACCTGTAACCTAAGAAACATACACACATGTGCTGGCAAGCATGTACACATTAAATCCACCTAAGTGTGCTATTAGTGCTTGATTGATGCCATATTAATGATTGATAATAAAAATAATAAAGATATATAATAATTCTGTGTAGTAGGATGGTAGACAGTCAACCGCCCAGGAGGTACTACCGTCCTGCCAAGTGAGTGTAAAACGAAAGCCTGTAATTGTTTTACATGATTGTAGGAATGCTGGTGACCTTTTTTCTGTCTCATAAAAGCAAGATTTCAGGTAACGTCTGCTACTTCTACTTACATTAGGTCAGCACTACACTTACAGTACAATCAGTATATACATGCACCCCTCTTGGTTTCTTTTATTTTCTTTCTAATCATGTTCTTGTTTATTTCCTCTTAACCTCCATGGGTAATGTGGAACAGAATCTTCCTCTGTAAGTCATGTGTTTTGTAAGAGGCGACTAAAATGCCGGTAGCAAAGGGGCTAGTAACCCCTTCTCCGTATAAAGGGATTAAATAAAATATGTAAAAAGAGAAACTTTCATTTTTCCTTTTTGGGCCACCCTGCCTTGGTGGATAAACGGCCGGTTTTGTTGCAAAAAAAAAAAAATAATCACTCTAAGAGCATTAAATATCGTAATAAAAAATTAATATATACATTTTGCTTTAATCCTATCTAAATACACACCCCATAGAAGATATATTAACATAAATATGATATTGGTATGCCAGGTTGACTTGTGGGAACTTGTGTGTAGCCAGGGACTTGTGGAATCCAGGCAACTGTGGGGCTGTGATAGCCAGGCTACTTGTGGTACTTGGGTAGCCAGCAACTTTTAGGACCTTGTGGTATCCAGCAACTTGTAGGACTTGTGGTAGCCAGGCGACTTGTGGACTTTGTGGAGCCAGGCAACTTGTAGGACTTGGTGGTAGCCAGGCCACTTGTAGGACTTGTGGTAAGCCATTCAACTTGTGGAACTTGTGGAGCAGGCAACTTGTAGGACATTGTGGTAGCCAGGCAACTTGTAGGACTTGTGGTAGCCCTGTACCTGTGTGGGACATGTGGTAGCCAGGCAACTTGTAGACTTGTGGTATACCTGAGTTACCGTATGGAGAGAGTTCCGGGTGTCAACCGGCCCCCGCGTTCCCGGTCCCTGTGACCAGCCTCCTTAGGTCAGTGTCCCATGAAGTGCTACCCACACCAGTCGACTAACAACCCAGTACCCATTTTACTGAATGGGAAACATATGACCAACATGTGAAAGAACCACGTCCAATGTTTCAACTAACTCCTGGCTTGGAGACGAACCCAGGCCCTTCGCCGTGTGAATCGAGAGCGTAACCACCATGCCACCAGAGCCCACAAGCCAGGTGACCTTGTGGGACTTGTGGTAGCCAGGTGACTTGTGTGAACTTTGTGTAGCCAGCAACTTGTGGAACTTGTGGTTATCCAGACAAACTTGAAAGGACTTTGGTGGCAGCCAGGCAACTTGTGGTGGCCAGGCAACATCATAGGACATGTTGAAGCCAGGCAACTTGTAGACTTGTGGTACCAGGCAACTTGTAGACTTGTGGTAGCCAGGCAACATTTGTTGGCCAGGCAACTCATAGGACTTGGTGGTAGCCAGGCAACTTGTAGGACTTGTGGTAGCCAGGCAACTGTATCTTGTGGTAGCAGGGCAACTTGTAGCAACTTGTGGTAGCCAGCAACACCACTTGTAGGACCTGTGGTAGCCAGGGCAACTTTAGCACTTGTGTAGCCAGGCAACTTGTAGCACTTGAGGTAGCCAGGCAACTTGTAGGGCCTGTGGTAGCCAGGCAACTTGTGGGAACTTGTGGTGTATACCAGGCAACATGTGGTGTGGCCAGGCAACTCATAGGACTTGTGTAGCTCCAGGGGCAACTTGTAGGACTGTGGTAGCAGGGCAACTTGTTAGCGCCTTGTGGTAGCCAGGCCAACTTGTAGACTGTGGTAGCCAGCAACCTTGTAGGACTTTTGAGTGTAGCCAGGCAACTTTGTATGACTTGTGGTAGCCAGGCAACATGGTAGGACTTGT